TCTTCGTCATTCCATAGTTTCCTTAAATTCCTATCTCTTTAGAGTCTAATGAGGGACTCATTCTGGGAGATGCAAAAATGTCTCTGCCATTTCAGTGCCTGCTAGATCCCTGTCACAATTAGCAGATAAAGCCAGCTAAGAGCAAACACTCTTTCCCACACCCTCTACTTTTATCCCCAGCTTCAAATTTCCCCTAACAGTCAACTCTGCACACTGAGCCTCTATGTGACCTTCTCCATAAACGGCCTCACACGCTTTGCTGTCCTCCTGAACCCAACCCCTGATGACCATATATAACATACTGGGAGATAATAACAGCCTCATTTTTTCTTGTTTATCATGGTTTTCTCTTCTTCTAGATGCTTATTGGATTTGATGTATCTAAAAAGCAAACATTTTGCCAGAATGGCAGGTGTTTATTCATTTTGCACTGTCATTCATGGTATGGTAAGCTCTTTCCTGCACACTCAGGTATTTTTTTAAATCAGGAACATTTTCTTCTGTCATTGTGATTGTTACTTCTTCTAGATCACCCATAATCTATGTGTTGAATCTCCATCCCACACCTTCCGTGTCTGTCATCTTAACTGTTTTCCCACTTTGCTCTTTTCCTCACCCCTTCTACAAAGTTTGTCCTCCACATCACTTATTTGATTTCCCAACATTAATTCTGTTGTTACCATCTTCAGATGCAGCTCTAATCCTTCTGCTGTGTTTTGGATTTTTCTGCTATCATTTGTCTTATCAATCTCCCCATTTCATCTTATGCTATAGCCTATTAAAACCGAATGAGAATGCAAAACTGCCATCAGACACTGTGTCCTAGTTGCTAGTAAAATTCACATGACAGCTTCATGCTAATTTTTGTATCCTTGGCTCTGCAGTAGTTTTCCATGGGTCCCACGTAAGCTTTTTCTGTTATAGTTATTCAATGAGGATAATGCTATCTTTACCCCCCATTGTTTGCCAGGATCTACCATATTCAAATCTTTTCCACTCTGCTAGCTTACACTTGCAGGAGATTTTTCCTACTCTTAATGCCTAGCTCTGTGTCTTCCTTTGGGTAGAAACATTTTCTAATTAGCTAAAAACAAGGGACTTGTACTTGGATACTTAGAAAAGTTCCCCCACCACAATAGAAACTGAGTCTCTATGTTGTGTTCTTGTTTGTTTGGTGTTCGTTCTATTTTGGTTTAGGGTGAGCATTTATCTTACATTTCTGGACCAGAGTTTGCAATTAAGACAGAAGTGTCCAACCTGTGGCCCACGGGTGACATGCTGATTTTATGAGGATATTTTTTGCTTTTCTCTGGTGTCAGAGATCACAAAAAGTACATACAGATCTTGTTTTTGCTGATCAACTTTCATTAGTGTTTGTGTATTTACTATGTGACCCGATACAACTCTTATTCTTCCAATGTGTGGCTTAAAAGAAAAAAGATTGGACACTCATGGGTTCAAAGACTACTAATGGGAGAGTCAACAATTATTCTGACTGCTCAGAAAAGAGACTGAATGGGCCTCCAAATGTATTTTTCAGTCCATTTCCATGGGCTTTGTATTAAATAAAAAATATTCCTATTCATGTACTGGCAACAAGCTGACTTCCAGTGCGTTTTAGATTAGTGAGTTTTCATCTTTTTCTGTATCTTCCCACACAGTTTTGGCAGAAAATTTGTGAGAGAGATGTTTGCCAGATGCCATGTTAAAATGGAAACCTGCTGATTAATTTTTTGTTGATTAAGACTTGAGGATTGCAGGAGGCTGCTATTTTAGTTTCCTCTAGTGTTTCGTTTTTGGTTGCACTCATTAGTGAAACTTGTTTTCTTAGAATAAATTTGCCCCTGTCTAGCATTCTAGGTTCTAATTACTCTTTAAAAATGTATTAAGTATCTTGCTGTACTGAGGTGCTACCAATTCTTTATAACGAATAGTATGTAAATATTTCTCTATGTAATATGTTTCTGCCTGGCTCCAGAAATAATTTTAAATGATTTACATAAATAAGAACAGGAGAAAATAAAATAAAAATATAAGGATGAGAAAAGTAGGACAAAGGTCAAACCAGGGTAGGAAAGATAAGTGGAAGGCAGGAGTCATGTTAGTTCACTAAAGGGATCCAAAGAGGTCCTCATCCTAGGTTAGTGATACTGAAAGTTTGGCTTCTAGAAACTTCTGAGTTTCTAGAAGACGATGGAAGGAGGGGGACATCAGCAGTTTCCTGGGTTGTGGAAGTTCTTATAGAAAAATAAACCTGTTCTTTAAAGGATGCTGCTCATGGAGCCAGGATTTGAGAGAAATTTATCTTGTGGATCCTTTCTATACGGCACCCTCTGCTGTAAACCTCTTCTGGCGAGCACACATTTCAGGAGCTGCTTCTCGTGTCACTCAGTGTCATGACCAGTGCATCAGAGCAGGCTCAGTTCAGTGGAGTCAGGAGGTACATAGAGGAGGGGTGGCTGCCTCACCAAGCCCTGTCTCTGGAATATGACAGATCTCTGAATTCAGAGGATGCTCTCTACCAAGGGCTTGCAAGACCATGCCTGTAGGCAGCAAGCTGGGTTGGGCATAGTAAGTTATCCTCCAAGAACATTCTCCCAACAGGCACACCTACCCCTGAAGTGTACCAAGAGAGTACCCCAAAGAAAAGGTCTTAAAATTTTCTCAAAATTATATTTTAATTCCCTCTAGTACACAGTCCTCTAACTATGCCAGCTGGTTTCATGCACCTGGGTCTCATTGGTCCTGCTGCTCCCTCATCAGAAATGTGTGTCCCTGTGACAATATATTAAAACGTTCCTCATCTTTTGAGAACCTGCTCAGAGGCCAGTCTTCCTCTGGACTGTCCCTGCCTCCCAGGCAAAAGAATTTCTTCTTCTCCCAGCATGCTGGGAGCACAACTTACTTCTCCCAAGGCCTTTATTGACTCTCACTCAGGAACAGAAAAAATAAGTCACTTCCTATATATCCTTTTCTTTTTAATAATTCAGTGATTTGGTTTTTTCACTTCTGTTTAATCTGCTTCCTTCTAATTGCCTTTGGATAGACATCGGCTTCCGGAATTTATCTGATTACAAACTATATCACGTAAATTTCATACACAAACACAAAGAAGGAAAGAATCTGTCACACATCTTTTTAACAAAACAGGATAACCCAGATTCTTGTTGTATAATGTTGTGTGATGAAGTCCTTTCTGTCTAATGACTGAGTGAAAATATCATCTTTCTTCTTTATCCTTCTCCACATTGTTGATGACATCTGCCATCCATTATTGAACTGGAGAAAATTCACCCAGGACACTGTCATCTGAAGACTCTTCCTCTGAGATTTCACTGATACAATCAATTTCTTTCTATCATTGTTAGACTCGGGAGAGCTATTCTCCTCTCTGAATTCATCTTCTGAGTCATCTAATAATTGTGAAATGTTGTTTCACAGTGTTCCTCTCTTTACCATTATAAATTTTGAATTTGCAATTGTGTGCTAAAAGCACATTCAAAATGGTGATGATTTATTTCGCTATTGAATCATCCTCCTCAGCAATTCCATTATTCTATTTATTATTTTAGTCTCTTTTGGCATAACTGAGAATAATTGGTGAGTAATGAAAAATTCCCAGATGATGAAAAATTGCAGATGTATTAAATGATAGGAAAAATAAGATCACAAAGCTCCCGTCAGGTATCTTCGATGTATCAAAAGGTCTGATGAACCCATATGGTAATTGCAAAATATAGTAAGCTTTGTTTCATTTAAAATAATTAAATTTTCTCTTTGGTCTTGGGAAGTCCTCTAAGACAGTAAAAGCTGTGAAGGAAATATCAAGCCCTACAAATAGAACAATTCCAAGAGGAAACTCAAAAGCGAAAATCAGGTTCAGTGGTCTCTCAGGGTATGTCGTATGATGTGCACATGAAAATTTCATGACATATCTGTCCAGCCAAAGGCCAGGAACAGAGTAAGAATCACAATCTCTATGTCATCCTGGAGTCTTCTGGGATTGGTAAGGCCCTCACTCATGGCAGGAGTTTAGGAGATATTCACTTAATGGATAGTAAGAGCAGAGACGTAATTACTATATTTCTTATGTATGTGCAAGGCCCTTTCACCATCTCAGAGACTCTGTCCTTTACCTAAAATATTGTTCTTCCTTCCCTTTCCCTTTTATTTAGGTGACAGTTACACTTTGAATCTCAACCCAAACGTGACTTCTGCAGGAAAGCCTCCTCAAATCCCTGACCCCTCCTATCAAGTGCTTGTTTACAGGCTGTCAGAACCCTCACACACACACACACACACACACACGCACACACCACCCCATCTTCCCTTAACCACTGTGAAAAGTTAATACATACCCGGCCTCTCTTCATCCACCCTACCCCCTACCCTATCCAAAAATACAGTTAGAGAGAAGAAATAAGTTCTAGTGTTTGATCAAACAAAAGGGTGACTATGATTAAAGAACAATTTATTGTATTTTTCAAAATATCTAAAAGATTTGGAACGTTCCCCACACAAAGAAACAATAAATGTTTAAGGTGAGAGATATCCTAATTACCCTGATTTGATCATGACACATTGTAGGCATGTTTCAAAATTATCATATGTACCCCATTAATTTGTACAATAATGTATCAATTTTGTTTAAGTTAGTACTTAAAGGTTTAGTTTGTCCCCTCCACTAAGGGGGTGATGGG